ATAAGAGGCTTCACTATGTTCGTTGATGCTTTAACAAACTGATAACCTAGCAGATAAAACGTGTCACCTACGTCTTTCTTCATTACGACCTATATAAGAGGCTTCACTATGTTCGTTGATGCTTTAAAAAACTGATAACCTAGCAGATAAAACGTGTCACCTACGTCTTTCTTCATTACGACCTATATAAGAGGCTTCACTATGTTCGTTGATGCTTTAAAAAACTGATAACCTAGCAGATAAAACGTGTCACCTACGTCTTTCTTCATTACGACCTATATAAGAGGCTTCACTATGTTCGTTGATGCTTTAAAAAACTGATAACCTAGCAGATAAAACGTGTCACCTACGTCTTTCTTCATTACGACCTATATAAGAGGCTTCACTATGTTCGTTGATGCTTTAAAAAACTGATAACCTAGCAGATAAAACGTGTCACCTACGTCTTTCTTCATTACGACCTATATAAGAGGCTTCACTATGTTCGTTGATGCTTTAAAAAACTGATAACCTAGCAGATAAAACGTGTCACCTACGTCTTTCTTCATTACGACCTATATAAGAGGCTTCACTATGTTCGTTGATGCTTTAAAAAACTGATAACCTAGCAGATAAAACGTGTCACCTACGTCTTTCTTCATTACGACCTATATAAGAGGCTTCACTATGTTCGTTGATGCTTTAAAAAACTGATAACCTAGCAGATAAAACGTGTCACCTACGTCTTTCTTCATTACGACCTATATAAGAGGCTTCACTATGTTTGTTGATGCTTTAAAAAACTGATAACCTAGCAGATAAAACGTGTCACCTACGTCTTTCTTCATTACGACCTATATAAGAGGCTTCACTATGTTCGTTGATGCTTTAACAAACTGATAACCTAGCAGATAAAACGTGTCACCTACGTCTTTCTTCATTACGACCTATATAAGAGGCTTCACTATGTTCGTTGATGCTTTAAAAAACTGATAACCTAGCAGATAAAACGTGTCACCTACGTCTTTCTTCATTACGACCTATATAAGAGGCTTCACTATGTTCGTTGATGCTTTAAAAAACTGATAACCTAGCAGATAAAACGTGTCACCTACGTCTTTCTTCATTACGACCTATATAAGAGGCTTCACTATGTTCGTTGATGCTTTAAAAAACTGATAACCTAGCAGATAAAACGTGTCACCTACGTCTTTCTTCATTACGACCTATATAAGAGGCTTCACTATGTTCGTTGATGCTTTAAAAAACTGATAACCTAGCAGATAAAACGTGTCACCTACGTCTTTCTTCATTACGACCTATATAAGAGGCTTCACTATGTTCGTTGATGCTTTAAAAAACTGATAACCTAGCAGATAAAACGTGTCACCTACGTCTTTCTTCATTACGACCTATATAAGAGGCTTCACTATGTTCGTTGATGCTTTAAAAAACTGATAACCTAGCAGATAAAACGTGTCACCTACGTCTTTCTTCATTACGACCTATATAAGAGGCTTCACTATGTTTGTTGATGCTTTAAAAAACTGATAACCTAGCAGATAAAACGTGTCACCTACGTCTTTCTTCATTACGACCTATATAAGATGCTTCACTATGTTTGTTGATGCTTTAAAAAACTGATAACCTAGCAGATAAAACGTGTCACCTACGTCTTTCTTCATTACGACCTATATAAGAGGCTTCACTATGTTCGTTGATGCTTTAAAAAACTGATAACCTAGCAGATAAAACGTGTCACCTACGTCTTTCTTCATTACGACCTATATAAGAGGCTTCACTATGTTTGTTGATGCTTTAAAAAACTGATAACCTAGCAGATAAAACGTGTCACCTACGTCTTTCCTCATTACGACCTATATAAGAGGCTTCACTATGTTCGTTGATGCTTTAAAAAACTGATAACCTAGCAGATAAAACGTGTCACCTACGTCTTTCTTCATTACGACCTATATAAGAGGCTTCACTATGTTTGTTGATGCTTTAAAAAACTGATAACCTAGCAGATAAAACGTGTCACCTACGTCTTTCTTCATTACGACCTATATAAGAGGCTTCACTATGTTCGTTGATGCTTTAAAAAATTGATAACCTAGCAGATAAAACGTGTCACCTACGTCTTTCTTCATTACGACCTATATAAGAGGCTTCACTATGTTCGTTGATGCTTTAAAAAACTGATAACCTAGCAGATAAAACGTGTCACCTACGTCTTTCTTCATTACGACCTATATAAGAGGCTTCACTATGTTTGTTGATGCTTTAAAAAACTGATAACCTAGCAGATAAAACGTGTCACCTACGTCTTTCTTCATTACGACCTATATAAGAGGCTTCACTATGTTCGTTGATGCTTTAAAAAACTGATAACCTAGCAGATAAAACGTGTCACCTACGTCTTTCTTCATTACGACCTATATAAGAGGCTTCACTATGTTTAATGATGCTTTAAAAAACTGATAACCTAGCAGATAAAACGTGTCACCTACGTCTTTCTTCATTACGACCTATACAAGAGGCTTCACTATGTTTGTTGATGCTTTAAAAAACTGATAACCTAGCAGATAAAACGTGTCACCTACGTCTTTCTTCATTACGACCTATATAAGAGGCTTCACTATGTTCGTTGATGCTTTAAAAAACTGATAACCTAGCAGATAAAACGTGTCACCTACGTCTTTCTTCATTACGACCTATATAAGAGGCTTCACTATGTTCGTTGATGCTTTAAAAAAACTGATAACCTAGCAGATAAAACGTGTCACCTACGTCTTTCTTCATTACGACCTATATAAGAGGCTTCACTATGTTCGTTGATGCTTTAAAAAACTGATAACCTAGCAGATAAAACGTGTCACCTACGTCTTTCTTCATTACGACCTATATAGGAGGCTTCACTATGTTCGTTGATGCTTTAAAAAACTGATAACCTAGCAGATAAAACGTGTCACCTACGTCTTTCTTCATTACGACCTATATAAGAGGCTTCACTATGTTCGTTGATGCTTTAAAAAACTGATAACCTAGCAGATAAAACGTGTCACCTACGTCTTTCTTCATTACGACCTATATAAGAGGCTTCACTATGTTCGTTGATGCTTTAAAAAACTGATAGCCTAGTAGATAAAACGTGTCACCTACGTCTTTCTTCATTACGACCTATATAAGAGGCTTCACTATGTTCGTTGATGCTTTAAAAAACTGATAACCTAGCAGATAAAACGTGTCACCTACGTCTTTCTTCATTACGACCTATATAAGAGGCTTCACTATGTTCGTTGATGCTTTAAAAAACTGATAACCTAGCAGATAAAACGTGTCACCTACGTCTTTCTTCATTACGACCTATATAAGAGGCTTCACTATGTTCGTTGATGCTTTAAAAAACTGATAACCTAGCAGATAAAACGTGTCACCTACGTCTTTCTTCATTACGACCTATATAAGAGGCTTCACTATGTTCGTTGATGCTTTAAAAAACTGATAACCTAGCAGATAAAACGTGTCACCTACGTCTTTCTTCATTACGACCTATATAAGAGGCTTCACTATGTTCGTTGATGCTTTAAAAAACTGATAACCTAGCAGATAAAACGTGTCACCTACGTCTTTCTTCATTACGACCTATATAAGAGGCTTCACTATGTTCGTTGATGCTTTAAAAAACTGATAACCTAGCAGATAAAACGTGTCACCTACGTCTTTCTTCATTACGACCTATATAAGAGGCTTCACTATGTTCGTTGATGCTTTAAAAAACTGATAACCTAGCAGATAAAACGTGTCACCTACGTCTTTCTTCATTACGACATATATAAGGAGGCTTCACTATGTTCGTTGATGCTTTAAAAAACTGATAACCTAGCAGATAAAACGTGTCACCTACGTCTTTCTTCATTACGACCTATATAAGAGGCTTCACTATGTTCGTTGATGCTTTAAAAAACTGATAACCTAGCAGATAAAACGTGTCACCTACGTCTTTCTTCATTACGACCTATATAAGAGGCTTCACTATGTTCGTTGATGCTTTAAAAAACTGATAACCTAGCAGATAAAACGTGTCACCTACGTCTTTCTTCATTACGACCTATATAAGAGGCTTCACTATGTTCGTTGATGCTTTAAAAAACTGATAACCTAGCAGATAAAACGTGTCACCTACGTCTTTCTTCATTACGACCTATATAAGAGGCTTCACTATGTTCGTTGATGCTTTAAAAAACTGATAACCTAGCAGATAAAACGTGTCACCTACGTCTTTCTTCATTACGACCTATATAAGAGGCTTCACTATGTTCGTTGATGCTTTAAAAAACTGATAACCTAGCAGATAAAACGTGTCACCTACGTCTTTCTTCATTACGACCTATATAAGAGGCTTCACTATGTTCGTTGATGCTTTAAAAAACTGATAACCTAGCAGATAAAACGTGTCACCTACGTCTTTCTTCATTACGACCTATATAAGAGGCTTCACTATGTTCGTTGATGCTTTAAAAAACTGATAACCTAGCAGATAAAACGTGTCACCTACGTCTTTCTTCATTACGACCTATATAAGAGGCTTCACTATGTTCGTTGATGCTTTAAAAAACTGATAACCTAGCAGATAAAACGTGTCACCTACGTCTTTCTTCATTACGACCTATATAAGAGGCTTCACTATGTTCGTTGATGCTTTAAAAAACTGATAACCTAGCAGATAAAACGTGTCACCTACGTCTTTCTTCATTACGACCTATATAAGAGGCTTCACTATGTTCGTTGATGCTTTAAAAAACTGATAACCTAGCAGATAAAACGTGTCACCTACGTCTTTCTTCATTACGACCTATATAAGAGGCTTCACTATGTTCGTTGATGCTTTAAAAAACTGATAACCTAGCAGATAAAACGTGTCACCTACGTCTTTCTGGGACAAGTGAATATTGGAAGACATTTCCTAATCTCACGCTCTTGTTTCATATCCAGACGAACAGAACTTCAATGTTGCATGGAATTCAATTCGGATTGATTTATACAATAGCAAATGGATCAAAACTTGTCAAGCCCGTCTTGAATAGTTCATTTTAAACTGATTGGACCTGAAAACTACCCTTCTTTTCGAGACGGAGACTATAAATAATACGTCGTATTGCAATTTATCATCTTATGTATAATATATGAAATGAAACTGAAACTACTTAACGGTGTATATGCATCACAAATAATGGTAATAGTAGTAGTAGTTGGATAGCAGAGAAATGAAAATGTAAGAGAACTAAAGAGTGGAAAAAATAAAACGAAGACAGCCGACATCGATTCGGCCAAATTCACTGCATATGGTACAAACTGTGGGTGTTCTCTGTTATACGGTTTTAAGCTAGAAAAAGTTAGATGAGCTAAGGTCCCAGGTTATATAACAAACTATTTCTCGTTTTCCTTAATTTCAACCAATCCGATTCAATCACTGTTCGAAAAAGTAAATGACCGAGTTTGGATCGTACAACAAAAAAGACCTGAATGTGCTCACAACTTAAACAACAATTTCACGCCAATCACAAACAAAGAATAGCATTTAGAATAGCATTGCGCCCACAATTCTGACTGAATGGTAGTAGTTTAAGTTATGACAGTTAGTGTTCATTTCATTTCATTATAATCAATTGTGCACTGGAAGTTATTGCAGAAGAGGCTAAATGTAATAAAACAACCGAAGTTAGACGCAATTTCCCCAGCTGAAAAGTTGAACTTGAAGAAACAGTTTTACTCAAATCTAAAATGTTTAGCTCATTTGGTTCGAAAACTAGATCTTAACTCACCATTTAAGCAGCTCAAATCATTCGCAATTGGGTGACGGCAGAATTAATTGGTAGAATTGTTAGTTTGGAACAGCAACCAATAATATTACAGATGAGAAATAGGTTACATTAGTTTTCAAAATTCGAGAAATATTTTCATACGCTGTTAAACTGCGTCCCAGTCAGTTGAGCCACTCAATAGAAAATTGAAACCGCAAAGAAGCAAACTTCCTCTAAATATACACACTTTACTAATTTCACGTCATATTACATAACAGCGCACACAATTGAATAGTAGACATTTCGAATTCCAACTTGAGTTGCCAAATGACTGACAAAATTAGAAGTTTGAATTAGATTGTTTTCCTATTTCATTCAACCCCCCATTTGATTTGTTCAATTCGACTATGAGTAAACGGTGAGCTGTTGTTGTTCCAATTGCAGAGTGAGTAACTCCTCCTGGTGGTCCAGTGCTTCCAGCACCGACTCGAATCTCTCGCGCACCGAATCGATCTGTCTCCTTCGTCTACGCATCAGCTGCTCCTGCTGGGATCTCAAATTGTGGAGTCTGGAAGTGAGGAGCTCCACGTGGACGGCGTATTGCTGGTACTCCGCCTCCCTCCTCGCCTCCGCCTCTCTCCGACTAGCCGCCGACTGGGGCACCAGACTGAGGAACTCCCCCAGTCTCATTTTATGACTCACGAGACAGTACTGCTGCTCTGAGAGCTGTCTGCCGTAGCCCATTTCTAACTGGCGTTCAGTTGAGAGCCGACCGCACACGAACTCTACTTTAGCCCGAGCCTGCCGGTCTTTTCTGAAAAGTGTCGGCTTGCATCTACACATTGGACACGTGGCGTTTTGTTTGAGCCATTCAGTTAGACACCAGTTGCAAAACGAATGACCACACGGAACTATTTTATAAGGATCTTGGTGTGAGAATCTACAAACTGCACACGTGATTTCCTCGAACAGTTTCGAAGTGTTCAGCTTAGCTTTGGTTCGTATCGTTTTAATTTTGGTCAGAAACAGCTTCCGCATCTGCTTCGTCACTTTCGCAGTTCTGTGCGGACTGCGGCTACTTGAACTAGTGGACGGCGATCTTTTTCTAGTGGTTGTATGCTGATGTTGGTTGTGATTGGCTGATTTAGACGTAGATTGTGATTGGTTGTTTTGCTGAGCTCTATCGGCAGATGTTGCACAGGGCAACACGACTGCAACTGGCCTTGAGGTGCGTTTGGTGATATGTGCACGCCTCGAATTGGATAGTCGGCTGTGTTGCTTCTGTCGTCTGTTGTTCCCTAAGATGCTGCTTCTCTGATGCTGATTCCTCTTAACTGATGTCGGCTTCATGTTCTCTTCTCTGCTATTCTCTTCTGTTTGTATTTGTATTTGTGTCTGTTTTAAAATTGGCCAAGAGCTCAACCAAACAACTCTGAAAAGAAGCATTCATATTAAATTGTGATTCACATATATTCCTGTTCACGGCATGTTCGTCTATCATCTTCGAGATAAAAAATGCCAAAAAGAACGAGTTCTTTAAAACACATGCAATAATGCTCACTTTGAATGCACTATCGAAGAAACTTTAATGAAATGCAGGAGTAACTGCATCCCGGTTTAAACGATGAATTACCTACTCATACTTTAAACATAGCCGAATGACAGTTGGAAAAGAGCAATGAACGCAAGGAAACTGAAAAAAAAACGACTAATTTTTTTTAAAAAACTTCAACTTTTGATTTTCGAAGAAAAAAATAGATGGCCTTAATGCTCTTTGAATTTGTAGAACAATTTATGATGGAATATTTTTTGTTAGTTAACCCAATTTGAGAAAACTGGATGAATACGTAAAACTTTAATTTTGCTGGGAAATCTGATAATTAATTTCCATTTTCAAAATCAGAAGTCGATCACGTTTTTCATGACCTTTAAACTTTTGCTGTTCGATAGAGGAGTTTGCATTCCTTTTAAAATAGGAAATGCACTGAACTTAAAAAGAGTGTGAACCAATTTTGAAGATTTCCTGAAAAAAAATCAGCAAGACCTATATACTAGGTTCATTACTCTTAAAAATACCTAAAATTGATTATATGGATGCCTTTACAAGCAAGATGAAGGAAAGCGGCTACAAATTTTCAAATATGTTTGTAAAACAGAATTAACAAAAACTTAACAGCAAATGCATGGGGGGTCTTTGATAATCAACAGTGGTAAATGTAAAACAGTACATAAGTTATTACACAGTTTTATTAGTCCCGATCTCGTAAAATCTACTCCAGCGAACATTTCTTTGACAGTTGAGGTGATGTTCATTATTCGATATTGCTTTCATGTATTCAGAGTATCAGCCAACTTCTGGTTCAAGCTCCTTTCTAGCCTCCCGAATGTTTTCTTTTGTTGATTGTCATGACCGGCTCTCCCGTCCAATAACCACCAAACTTTGTACACTCAAGATTGGAAAACTTAACCAAGTTTATAGAGACACAAGTTACAGTGCAGGAGCGATTTGTCATCATTACTGTGTCCATTCATGGAAATAGATTAACTTGACGGCCATCCGTTTTAAAAAAGTCTTCTAGTGTTAACCTCGACTGTCGACTCGTTGTATGCCAAAGAGCGAAATCGCCCGCCATCGTTTCCTCACTGGGAGCCTCGATCCGTAAATGGAAGGATGCTTCAAGAAAGTATTGTTTCACATGTGATTGCTCGTCCCTGGCTTACTTTGTGGCGTGAATGTTATGTGTCTACGCTTAGTGAATTTAAAGTTATTGATGATCTAAATACCAATGGGGCGCTTTCACCGTGTTCAAACTACGCCTCAGAGTCGTCCCAACTCCGGTTCGACGACGCTGGAGGTCCTTCTTTAAGGGGGTATGAGGGAGTTGTTATCTGGTGCTGCTGGCGCCCATTCTCATCCTGTTCCTCAGTTCCTCTAGATAGAGTAGCTTGGTGGTCTCCCTGCTGTGCAGCAGACTCAACTCCTCCTCCAGACTCAGTTTCTCGCTGTGTCCCCCCACAGTGGCCAGCAGCAGAGGCAGGGCGGTGGGGGCCAACTGCTGTTTGATCTGCTGCCTCCTCTTCTGAATGTCACTCACCTCCCTCATGATACTACGCACCTACACACAACACAACAATACACGCATCAACACCAAACCACCCATATAATCTGCTAACATTCTCTCTCCCTCTTTGTACCCATATGCACCTGATATTTTTGTATAACTTTTAAATAGAAAATTTGTCCAACTGAATCGTTTACAATTTTTTTCTTGGAAATAACAATGGTAGTAGCTCCAACACAGATGTTCAGCGGAGCTTCGCGCCACTTTCGATAACACATTAAAAAGCATGGCAAGCTGACGGGAAAGAAAATGAAAGCTAGGAAGTCCAAAAACATGAAAAATAGAAAAAAAGCAACTAAAAACTTCAAAATGTTGCCTGGAACGGTTCTAATAGCGGAAAACACAATCGAAAGCTTTTATTGAAAATTCAAAAAATTATCGTGTCGCAACTGAGCCGACAACACTTCGGTATAGTACCGTAGAATCAAAAAACAAAATTGATTACATGAAAAGCTTTGAACAATAAATTCTATTCTAAAATTTGTGGCATTTTGAGCGATACTAATGGGAAGAAATAAAAACAAAAAACAATCAACAGACATTTGGAAAAGAGTCAATGAACGCAAAGAAACAGAAAAAAAATGACTTGTTTTTTTTTAAACTTCAACTTTTGAATTTCAAAACAGTCAATCGAAGATTGGAAAAAGTAATGAACGCAAGTAAACATAAAAAAACACTGACTTTGTTTAACTCTCGACTTTCGAATTTCAAAGAAAAAAGAACAGATGCCCTTTAAAATCGTTGAATTTCTAGAACAATTTATGATTGGCGCTTTTTTGACAACATTAACCCAACTAGAGAAAACTTGTTATTGCTGTAAAAATATTTTGCCTTACTGTTCTTTGAATTTCAAAAGCAATTTATTTTTGACACTTTTTTTTTATAACAGCCTTGAGAAAACAAGGATTGTTAGTAAAAGCTTTTATTCCCATGGAAAATCTAATAATTGAATTCGACTTTCGGAGCTATAAATCGATCAAGTTTTTTCGCGCTATTTCAGCTTTCATGATAAAAGAATGCACTCTTCCTACCTTCCAGTAAATACACTTGAATTGAACTCAAACAATGCAGATATACCTTAGGGCCTTCTTATATGCGTTAATAAGTATGAATGCAGTTAATTTGTTATAAGAGCATTTTCAAACTTTTCCTGAAAAAAAAATCAGGACCTATATAAGAGTCTGAACTACTTTCAGTGACACTTAAAACAGAAAAAAAAAACGAAGACAAAGTTAGTACAATTACAAACTGCAGGAGTTAAATCAAAACATAGCCAACTGACAGTTTGAAAAGGTAATGAACGCAAGGAAACAAGAAAAAATTGACTTGTTGAATAGCAAAAAAAAACGCAGAAGCGAAGTTGCACTTCGCATACACAAGCAAAAATATGACCGATAATGATACTGGGAAAACTGAATGAGTAAAACTTCGAGTCTACAAAATTTCTTACGTGACGCACGCCAATTATGAGTCTACATAGTTGCTAAGTGACGCAAGCCAATTATGACGCATTCACAGTACCAGTCAATTTGAGCAAAAAAGAAATCTACAAACTAACATGCCCAATTTATAGATCGGACACATTCTAACTAGTATACGAAAAAGTTCATTAAAAACATCCGACCCTGTCCAGGTTAGAACCCTCTTATTTTGTTGCTTGTCTCCTTCCCTACCTCTACGCTACAGATCCATGAAACCTTGAAGCTAAAATACTATTTTAAACATAATTGTCTGTGTTCATATCCTTAGCATTGGGCATTGGCTGTACTTAATAGCTGGATCAAAATGAACATATTTTGTCTCAACAATTGCATCGCAACAATATTTGCGACTTAGGTCGGAAAAAAAGAAAGTTCATACTAAGGGTTATACAGGCTTATAAAATTTAAATTTACTATGTGCCAACATAGCAAGTGATTCAGTGATAATGTTTAACTAATTTTTAACCCTATAAAAAGTCTATATTCTGATTTGATCATGTTTGCGAATCGCAAGCGTCAGCATTAGTACCATTAACAAACATCTGGCAGCTGTAACATTTATTATTCTAATTTCAAAACAGTTCTTTGACCAAAATGCAGCAACGATTTAAAGTTGACAGCATTTGTTAAAAATATACCTTGAATATGTCGATGATTTAATCACGCAAAAAGCAGAGTCAAGATTTATTTATTTTACAAAAATTGCTATTCTGCACTCCCCGATAACATGACTCAAAACTGTGCTAACAGTGAACTTAATAATGGAACGCTCAGAACTGGCAAGCTTCAAAGATGATTCAATGCTTTTTAAAATTCAAATGCCATTAAAAGTCTTTATTAAAAGTTAAAGGATTCGAAAAGTTTCATATATTTTTGTCTTTGCTCCATTCATCAATACGAGGAGGCTTACCCTGGCAATGTGCAGATTATTTTCTTCTTTTTCTCCTTATGAACTGATTGGAAAAAGTAATTCTCAGCGGCAGCTGTTTCTAATCGATCTCTCACCTGTTCGTCCAGCTGTTCCCCACTGGTGGCTTCATTGTCATCCTCATAGCCCCCTCCTGTGCCCCCACTGGGACCCAGACCGGAAGAGGGGGGTCCTCCTGCTGCTCCCTCTTGGTTCTCCTCCTCGCTGCTCACCTCCTCAAACACTCTGTTCAGCTCCGCCCGACTGAGCGAGTCCGACTGAATGAAACAAACAACAAACAATTTGATCAAAAAGATAGGAGAGAGAGAGTCCTCAAACACTCTGTTCAGCTCCGCCCGACTGAGCGAGTCCGACTGAATGAAACAAACAACAAACAATTTGATCAAAAAGATAGGAGAGAGAGAGTCCTCAAACACTCTGTTCAGCTCCGCCCGACTGAGCGAGTCCTGATGAAACAAACAACAAACAATATGATGAAAAAAGATAGGAGAGAGAGGAAGGCTGCTATTCTAATTGACCAGAAGAAATTAAGAATCAAATGCCACAGAAACTTCAAGCAGTCAAAAATCTCTGAAACTGACCAATTTCTGACTGCTGAATTGTCACGTTTCTTTTTCACATCTTGAAGACAGTTCTGATTGAACGATGTTTATTTTTAGATTCGGTGTTTTACGAGGGATTCAATCAAAAATTATCTTCTTCATGGAAAACATTGCCAGATAATATTTTTTATTTCAATTAAATGCTATTTGCTTTAATCAATTCTAGCGAAGGCTATCAATGTTGACATACATATTATCATAGAATAAATATACATTACATACAAAAAATTCACGAAACAGATTTGATATTAAATTTGACGCGCACATGTAATTAAGGTTAAAGCGTGATTTATAGTTTGGTCAGACACAATCAATTGAGCATAAAATACTCGCCAGACTTGAAGAGATTTTGCAAGCTTCAGACGACATTAAAACACGATTTTTGCCGAGCAATTAGCCTTTACATGCACTTTTTTCTAACACGTAAAATATTGGTATTCGTTAATTATGACTCTCAGCACTCTTTGGAACTCATTACATGGCAACGAGAGCAAAGATATCCGGTGTCAGGACAAGAAGCACAAAACGTTCCAAACACGTGAATTTTCGAAATAAAATATATATAAAAAAAATCAGCAAGACCTATATAAGAGGTTCATTACTCTTAAAAACTAGATTATAAGAAGTTTTGTTCCGCTGAGAAATCTACAAATTATGTTCCACTTTCGAAACTAGAAATTTATTATGTTTCTTCACGCCATTTCAGCTTTTACGCAGGGGCGAAGCTACGCTTCGCAATTACTACCGAGAACACAACAAACAGCAGCTCTTTTAGGTGCAATAAGATAAAATCGAAATAACCCTCGAATTAGTAAAAATTCGGCTGAGTCTGGCGCACTAACCACCCACGGACGCTTAATAAATCAAACACTAGCCACTAAAAAAGCAGAAAACCGATGCTATGAAGTTTCCAATCCTAAAGATCGTGATTATTGCAAGTGTCAATAAAAAGGTAAAAAATTTAAATTAACGCTTTTATTTGTGAATAAGATTCAAAAAAAGAAGGTTTGTACTAATAAACTAACGCTCGCAAGCACGCTAGTGTAAAAATTAGAGCAAATTTTGCCGACCTTCTAGGAAATGAACTTAAACTGAACTCAAAAAGTGCAGATATACCTAGGGGTATTCAAATGAGCATTTATAAATTTGAATGCACTTTTTTTATGTTATTGGAGCATTTAAAGACTTCCTAAAAACAGAAAAAAATCATCGCGACCTATAAAAGAAACTGAACTACGTTCATCGACTATGAAAATGTGCTTTAATATGTGCCACACTTTAAACCCTAAGAGCTTGTCTTAGTGGTAGTCGAAATTGGCTGTAGAAACAAATCCTATTTCATATTAATTCCTACTTCGCAAAGTGGCCGGAACAAAAAAACTATATTTACGACTTATGAGAAAACGCCTGATACAAGATTAAACACATCCATTTGATAAACTTCTTTATTTCAGAATTGGCACGGTCACTTTTTGTGAAAATGACAAAAGACCAAAAATGGGTCCAAAGGTCAAATATTACCTAAGTCCATTAAAAAATTCTCTTATACAGGAGATTTCATACAGTTTGTTTGGTAGATTGAACCCATAATCTCAGATTTGGCCCGCAGTTTTCAAAGACAGTACAAAACATTTGTAGTACAAAAAAACATGTCAAAAAATGGACTTTTGCAAGTCCAACGAAACGACTTTTGCAGAAAAAGTTTCTAGCGCATGTTCATTTGATTGAGGTTTTAATCGTAGACTTGTCAGTCTTAGTTTTCGAGAAAAAGTCAATAAATTTCCAAAAACGACCTACCTTTCAAAACATGGAATTTTTCCAAATAACATTTTTTTTCCTACAAAAATTAAGACTAGCCGGCTATGCAGAAGAAGTTCCTAGCACCCAGTTCTTTTGACTGAGCCTTTTCTCTCAGTTTTGGCAGGGTAGGGAAACACTTCCAAAAACGTTCAACATTTCAAAATTAGGACAATTTCTATGACTATTACTCTTTTCCATCAAAAACTGGGGGCGGGGGCATAGCATAGATGCCTCAATCTCAGATTTGGGAGGGTTAGTTTTTGAAAAAATGAAAATGATCCCAAATGGGGAAACTTTAGAAGGCCATAAAACGACCATAGAAGGCAAAATTAAAAAAGACTAGCTGAGAGTAGCCGGTCTTTTTGCAGTGGTACCGTCTTTTGAAAATCGATTTGAAGTTCTCGAGAAAAAAATGCAAAAAAAAGCTTTCAAAGCGTCTCAATAATTTCAAAAACAATTCTCGAACATTTTCATAATATTTGTTTTTTAAAAACAAGAAACTAGCTACCAATAAACCGGCTATAAACATGTAATGCTATGCAGCAGAAGTAAACCAGATATAATGCTGCAAAAGTTCCACCCAATAAATGTGGTTCTTTTCCCTATTTAATGGGAAAAGGTTTCCCAAAATGCTTCTCCCTAATTGTTGAAATTCTTCTTAAAAAATCTGATCGAACGTTCAGTTGAAAAATAGCTTAGGTGCTTTGAAAAACAAGTATTATCCAATTTGTTGGAAAAAGCCAAAACTATGTAGCTCTGAATTGAATGGCCATGTGATAATGAGTTTGATTATGATAATTCTACCGGACAAGAGGATGAAAGAGATTGCATTGCATACCCCTTTTGCGGCCTCTGTAGCAGTTGTGCTGTTATTGTGGTTGTCGTCCACCAGTTGGTATGTGGGCAGACTGGTGGCATAGAGGTCCGACTTCAGCAGGGCCTTCACTTCATTCTCCACATCCGGCGACTCAATGTACTTCTTCTTCAGAATCTTCCTGAACCTACTCCGTCTCACGTTCTTCAGGGGAGGGGTTAAACCATGTGGGTACAGATAGACCTGCAATCAAAACATCCTCTCATTCCATTCAAAATTCACCAACTTTTCCAGTCCCCCCTTTCAAATTCAATTTTGAAAAGTCTATTTAACGTTGTCATAATGCAATAAAATTTGGCGTGGGTAACAAATCGACAATTGTGAACAGATTTGTTCTTCATCCTTTACAGCGTAACATCACGCATTTAGCCGCAATAACACGTAAAACAAACAAAACTCGGTATTTTGAAAGGAGGGGGGAAACTGGAAAAGAGCCATGGACACAAAAGCTGCTTCATTTGATAGCAAAAAGACAACACAAACACACTTCGGCCAACACCGAATTAATAACAACTCAACTGAAAACAGTTTCTGGCTACCGAGAACTAAGTAAACCCAGAGATGAAGCAACACTTGCGATACAATCGAAACATTCCATTACAAGATATTTAATTGAAAAAAATAAAAGAGTCAATTAAGCCGAAAAACTATCTGCAAAAATTTAATACCTCTGTCTCTGAGGATTTTCATAGACAGCCTTAGCAAGCAATGAGAATCAATAATTGAGTAGCAGCTAAGGCAATAAAAGTTGGGTCTACTCTCGTTAAGCCGAAAACGAAACTGTTGTCAAAAACAAATTTCAAGCTTAAAAACTTGCTTAAAAACTTTTTGAAAATCGCCCTTGAAACTAAGCAACAAAAAACAATTAAATCAATATAACATTAGCCGAACCTGTTTGACCAAAAGAATCCATAAAACCATTGCAGATCAGAGTTGGTAAATTTACGATCTAAGGAACAACTTTCAATTATACTAAAAAATCATAAATTAACAAGTATAGCCGGTTACTGTGAAAGTAACACAGAATGTTCCGAAAATCAAAATTATTGTAGTTTTTTTTCGGCGATAAAAGGAGCTGAACAAAAAAAAAACTGGGGATAGTCGACAGCCATACTAAAATAAGCAAATTGAAAAACAATTTTTGTATGGCTGTCGAATAAGCAAATTCAAAAATTACCAGGAAAACGAAAAAAAAATCTAACAAAAAATCAAATTGAAAAATGTGCTTCCAAAAAGGCGCTAAAATACTCAAAGTTACTACCGCTACCCAAGTAACACAAAATTTTTACGTTTCAAATTAAGCTATTTAGAGGTTTAAGACAATTAATCAATTCAAATAAAAATGCTCGCTCGCATTATTCGCTCGAAATAAGACGAAAAATCAAAAATTTCAAACCGGCTTTTCTTGACGCTGGGAAAACACTTTTTTGAAAATTTTTGACGTGGTTCGAATTACGACTGTAAAGGCATTAATATGATATATCACTCAACCCAATGCGATGATTATTTCTGGTTCCTGATTTTGCGAGAAAAAAACTAAAGCACACCCGAATACTAAGTTCCTCCCCATTTTCAATGGTCGGAACAAAAACCCAAGCTAAGGAAAGAAACTGCTTGAAGATCTTGCCAGATAAAAAAAATTGTACTAGAATACAAACGGAAATCAGCCGACAGAAACTAAGACGCAAACTAAAAATCTGATTTTTGTTTAAATTTATTGAAGAACTTTCGAGATGTCTCAATGATGATAAATTTGAGCATTCAAAAAGGTGGCTTCACATTCTTATCGATTTCATAAATAAACTAAGAAAATTAAAGCCGCAAGCCAATAAGCTGAAATTCAACCGGAATATTTCGGCAAAATAATACTGCTAAAAAGAACATGTACTGTTCATATAGTATCTAGTATCCAGGAGTGCCATATATGTACTGAAGGGAAGTTGGTATGCACATTTCGGAAACTAAAACGAGAGCCTATTCGATAGCAATAAAGCCGAAAAACCATTAGCCAAAAAATAATAAAATTGAAATTCTATAACTATATATGCAATTGGTTCTAAAATTATGCATACAAGTAGACTATGCATGTTTTGAAACACTAAGCACAGACAATGGAATGCAAAAACTAGCATCGGAAAAAATTTACCAAGTAGTAACAAAGCCGAAAATATCTCAGCAGAAAAAAAAAATTTCAAGTTCTTCCCTCCCTCAAAAATTTCAAGTTCACCCCTCCCTCAAAACACACACACACACAGAGAAAACTTTTCGCAATATGCGGACACTTAGTCGAAATAAAAACCGCCAAAACCTAAAGCCAAAAAAAGGACAAAAAAAGCAAATTTCGAAAAGAACGGATATTTAAAATACTTGCAAACTCAAAACATGTCTAACATTCGTAATTGAGATGAGTAGGACTTCCAACGACGACAAAGAGGTGAAGTGAGTCCTGTGAACAAAGTTAATTACGGGAAAAAAGTCTAGACTCAATTGCAATACCCTTGCTGATTGCAAGGTTAATTATCAACAGCCGTGATTTGGTTAAAATGTTATTTTCACCATCCGCTTATTTAACGAGGCTTATACTTTCGAACTCTTTTTGTTCAAACGCCACTTCACAATTTATAAACTAATATACTACAAAGCTGGCAACCACTCTTGATGGTTGTTCACGAAGTAGGTGATCTTCACTAATGTATACAAATATCAATAAGTTTAGATGACAAGATGTGAAACCATGGCGTTACAGTCTGTAGTTCAGCAGTGGAATGGAAGGTCAGCAGTGACTGCTTACCTTGGAGGATCTCTTGGTTTTCCTGTTGTTGTACTTCTCACTGCTCGCTCTTTCCGCAATCATGATCTGGGAGACATCTGCCGTCTTGTAGTAGTTCTTCCCGTCTGTAGTCTTCAGACTCTCAATAATACAAGGCAAGTCATGCAGTTTCGCCTTCAGAACTTCCCCCTCATACGCCAACTCACAGTTTCTGTAGTCGTTTTCGATGCTGATGGCCAGTTTGCTGCAGGAGGAAGTGACTCTTTTCAGTTCTCCATCTAGTTTCGCCGCTATGTCTTCGGGCAGTCTGAGAATGAACTGCTGCTCAGGATCCACTTGCTCCTCCCCCCGTTTGCTCATCTGTCTAATCTAGAAAACTAACACCACTTGCTTTTTTCCGCAATGCAAAAAATTATAAATCAAAATGTTGTCTCGTTGTCTCCTTCACAGACTAGTGAAACCACTTTTTACACCACATGTTTGTACACGAGAGAGACGGCCAAGCAAAGCCTAGTGTTGATGGCCAATGTAAACTCAACGCTTCTTCATAGGGGCTACTATGACCCCCCCCCCTCTCTCTCCCGTCCTTCTGTGCGTTGTTTCAACATAGGAAAAAAACGGTAGATCGGAGAAAACATTTCAAAGTGAGAAAAAATACCTGAAAAAGATTAAGCGAAAATCGGTATTTACGCATACCACTTTCGATAGGTTAGATGAACATTTAAGCAGGCTCGATCAGAGTACTCCAAGTAAAACCTTATCTCAAAACAAAGCCAATTAAATTCAAGTCGAAAACAAAAAACTACAAAAACAAAGAGAACATGTCTAGAAAATTTCCTAAAAGGTTCCACGATGATTTGAATTATCTGCCTAATCGTCCTCTATTCAATATGGTCAAGATTCTTGACGCATAATTTTGAATTAACCTTAGTTCATTTAGAAGTCACTTATTGTGTATTGTGTTACTTATTATGTTAGTCACTTATTATGCTATTTATTTTGTGTTCAAACTCCGGTTGATCAATCAATCAAGTATTGAATTACCGCTTTTTCAAAGTAAAGATTACTGATACACAGAGGCGAGGCAGAGCTTCGCACTACTTGCAATGCAAAAATTATAAGTGAAGAAAAACCTCAAAAAATCAGATAACAAAATTGTTGCAAAAACTTTTTTCGAAATTATATAAGCAACCAAATCAGCCTACCTCCAGCATTTTTTTAACCTGTCTGCTATGCATCGAAGTATTCCAAGACACGCGATCGAACCATGGGTAAACTGCATTGATGAAAGAACCAAAAACCACTGATTTACTTTTTCAATTAGCAAACGAAAGACACAAATACCGAAACAACATTATTCAATTTTTCAGAAGCCTAGACAAATAAGATAAGAAACAATACTACTTGATGGATTAACAACAAACGTGATCTGAAAATAAGAAAACGTTTCTAACAAAAAGACAACACAATGGCAATGAGAAATTTCGCAAAAACTTTCGAAAATCAATTCCAAGACAATCCAAAAATAAACATATTTTAACGAGTTCAACAGAAAATAGATCAGTTAAAAGCGAATGAAACAAAAAATGAGAACTAGACACGGTTTTATGAAAAATCAAATGATTTTGAACAGCTATGAAGCCAATAAAACGCCGATTTTAATTTCCAAAAAAATCCGATCAGAGAAGACCAGCAAGTTGACTGAAAAAACTGTTTACCAAAAATCAAACAAAAAATATTAAAATTTTAATTTAGTAAAAAATTAAAAGTATTAAAATCTTAAAATATTAAGAAAAGATTTTAATACTGAAAAATATTTAATGGATCAGCTGTCGGAAAGCGGTTGTTTATCGAAAAATACATACCGGGACTAGTGAAAGAATGGCTTTCTGAGCTACAAACGAACCAAGACATTGCGAACACTGCGCCACAGGCTGCAAAGTAAGTACACTTTCCTTGTCGGAACGACCCCAGACATTACAGAACTGATAAAAGCAAACCATGCATAAATATTACCAAACATCTTCGGGCGAAATACTTCAAAAGAACGAATAAAAGTAGCGAAACTACATTGCAGAGAAGGAGGCCTGGGTGTTACGGATCTAATATGCCAATTTCCTTATGAGACGTCACTACACATCAGTGAACCGCTACTCCAGTCTGTTGTAAAAGATTCTGAGTCTCACACACTAACCACTTAGCCACGAACGCTTAAAAATCAGAAACACTAGCAGAGATCAATCAAACAAAAAAAAAAAAAAACCGAATATTAAAAAAAAAAACCGAATATTAAAAAAAGCTAAGGCATTGAACTATTTCTAGAAGATGCAGCCTAAAAACAGATCAACATTAACTAAATATGAGAAAAAAAAATTGCAACTTTTAAATTGGCAAACAAAAAAATGATGGATTCGTCTAGCAATTCTGAAAACTATCGAAAATTTTGATATTGAAAAATTCTGATTTAATAGCACTTCAAGCTTGCTTGGTTTCAGGTTTTACCATCCTAACACAATGAAACTAAGCAAAACTGGAAACAAAAATTAGCAGACAGCAACTCAAATTGACTTTGCAAAACGATGAACTCGACTAGCAACTTTAATTTAAATTACCAAAAATTTTGAATTTATTTATTTCTGATTTGCTGGCAATTCAGGCTTGCTTAGTTCTCGTTTTTAGAATGAAACAATTACTTTTCAAAACAATATGCGCTAAAAAGCAATGAGGACATATTTTCAATTATTAGAGAAAAACTTAACAAACAAACAAACAAAAAATTGCAAAAACTCATTATCTACACCAGAAAAAAGAAGAAAAACAGCTGATTGAACAAACAGAAGCATAAAAAGTTAAGACCAAAGTTATTTTGCACACTGAAAACAAACACAAAAAAGTTCAGAAATTTTCTATTTTTTTTTTTCAATTTTAAAATTTTCACTTTTATTAGGAAGGGTCTCGGAAAGTGATTTCGATTTGTACAAAACATTTTGTGAGACTTCAACCATTCTTATAAAAACCAACAAAAAAGCAATTGAAAAAAAAAATCATTCGGAAAATGAGCCGACGGAATTAAAGCCAACACTCAAATGCCGAAAAAATAACAAAACTTTTTGGCACTAAAAATACTATTGAAGGAACTCATAACAACCACACAGGGCCCATACTTAACCTAACATGCACGCATTACATTTACCTCTACAGTAAAAAAAACACGTGCGAGTTCACGTGCGAATTCTGAGGACAAAATTGTTGACGGGAAAAAAGTCTAGTACCCGGTTGCAAAACCCTTGCTTATCGCAAGGGTAAACATAATTACCCTCGGGGAGGGCGAACAGTTCGGGACCAAAAAGGGGCAGTATTTTGCTATTCAATTTAGTAGCAAGGTCTAGAAATTCTTTCTGGTTCGAACAAGGCAAGTTTAACTGCGGGATTATTAATTCTCCTAACGCTGTTTTATTACGCATGCGCACGCGATGCCATCACGACTAACGAACAAGCAAAAACTTGGACTGTCAGCAGAATTTTGTATCTCTTATTTGTCTGCCCTGTTGTTGCGTAGTATGGTTACTTCATTAATACACATACACAAGTTTTGATTTTTGTGGAATCTCGTTTTATGGTAAAAATGAGACCCTATTTCTACTCCACTGTAAATAAAAAAAGATCACGCGCATATGAAATCAAAAATTGGGAATGAAAACCTAAGAAACTCTTGGAATCATTAATTCAACTGTAAAAATATTAGTAACACCAATGCTTGGGAACGAACACTAGGCTTCAAGTCCAGGCAGGACCTGTACTTTTCGCAAAATGAGTTTCCGCAGCAGGAAGCTGAGCCGAAAAAAAAACAGCTTCACACGAAACTCGTTCATCTGTCAAATTTTAAATCTTAGGACTCGTCTGGACTCAATTCACAGTTATTTGTCTTCCTAACCATCGTCGTTACCCCTACACTAATTATGTAGAAATCGGTTATTCAACTTCAGCTGATTAATAAGCAATTTGACATCGATGAGCGCAGTCGGTTAACAGTTTTTTTGCGGCAAAAATTGAGTACCCGAGTACAATACGATTACTAGGTTTACTAGCCTTATCATAACATTTACACTTGAAAAAAAAAACAATTCAAATAGTTGATTTTTAGTCAAATAGTTAATTTTTTGTTAGACAGGGAATCGAATTGTCTACACAGAGGCTTGGTTTACCTCCCGTTGAGTCAAAAACAAAAATGTCATGAAAAATTTTGAGGTACAAAGTTCTGAAAATCTGAGACTTATTATTATGTGTTTTCTGAGAAAGGCGCGTAAAAACTGTGCTCCTCGTCAAACGACGCAAACATAGTTCATTAAACCAAAAAAAAACTTTCAGACCGAAGTGGTCTATAAAACAAAAGAAAATATACCACAAAAGAAAAGTCAGAGACAATCGAATAAACAAAAGAAAAGTCAGAGACAATCGAAAAAAAAAAACGAAAACATACTAAGTTTGGATTAGCAAAATTATAAATTTAGGGAGCAAACCTGAAATTACAAAAACAACTGCTTACAGCACAAAAAAAATACCATGCTGCAACTAAGCCGACGCCGACAAAACAGATAGGTCGACAAACGTTTTGGAAAAGACACAGGTCCTGCCCGGATTCGAACATAACACCTTTGCCATCCCAGAAGTCGTCACTTCTAGGCCAAATGGATCTCAGATACTACTGGTTGGCACTTCATTGTGTGCAAAAAAGACTAACAAGACAAAAAACCCAAAAAAAGGAAGCCTGTTTGTTTAAAGGGTCAGCGAAGTTTATTTAAGGCTTTCTAAAATAGATTGTTAAAGATAAATCCGTTTCAAAAAATGACCGCAAACGAAAAATTTAATCCGCTCAAGTAAATTTACCATTCCTTCTAAATTGGAAGAAAAAAGCCCAGTACCCGACTGCAACATACCCTGACTGCCTAGTACCCTGATCGCAGGGGTAAAAAAAAACTCCAAGAATAAGGTTACCATAGCTAAAACCAGGTTACATAAACGAGAAACCATAGAGGAAATGCAGCCCTCCGAGCAAACTAGTCTGAAAGCCGATAAGTATAAAAAAATATACGAGACGTACTTTCCGCGCGGTACCTGAATAAGCTGAAAACACGTACCCTACACAACAGTTTTTTCCCAATATTTAGAAAGTGGTCTGAAGCTCTACAACAAAATATTTTTAACCAGAAATAAAACCAACAACCTTAACCTATTGCTGTAAAAGAAGGGATTTCGATCCAAAAACATACGCTTTTTATACTATGGCTAGAACAAATGATATCACGTTATACGATAGTTGGATTATACAATTTTTCACTAACGTCAATACACTTGACTCAAAAATTGATTGCTAACAACATTGCACAAAAATGCTAGTTGAGATGGTCTCTGTCCTCACAAGACAATCAAGGTAATCAGCAGCAACAAAAAACGTCCGCGCGTTGTTTTCACTCAGTATTGAGAAAAACCATGAAAAGAATCTCAGAGAAATTTATTTAGTGCTGAAGTATATGACGATTACTAGGTGACGCATAGCGATCACAATACGACTACTAGGGTTGCTAGCCTTATCATAATAGTTTTATTAAGAACCAATTCAAAAAGTTCAACTTGCAGTCAAAGTTTTCTTCTAATTTTTTTGGAGAGGAGATCGAATTATCTAAACAGAAGGCAAGCAAAAATTCGCACCACTTGTGATATCACACAAACGATTCATCGCTAACTAGACGGCAGACGATAGATGATGATACGGAAGCCAATAAGTCATAAATATTAAATATATCGAAAAAAAAATTAAGAACAAAATTTCATTATTTTGACGCGCCGGATGTTCAATTCCAGGAAAGCCTGCTTTTAAAAAGTAACCATACAAAATAATCGAACGGCAACTAGGCCGATAAGATTTGAATAACCTCCCGTTGAGTCAAAAACAAAATTGTCAAAACAAATTGAGCTACAAGATTCTGGGAAACTTGGACTTTAATTTTGTACTAAGGGGCGTAAAAATGCGTTCCTCGTCAAACGACTCAAAAAAACACAAGGTTATGCACAATCTGGAGAAGCAAATTTACCAAAACAAAGAGCATATCAAAAAACATTTGCAATAAACACTACTTACAGCGCAAAAAAAAATCCGATGCTGTACCTAAGCCGAAACAACAGATAGGCCGACAATCATCAAACCATATGCCGACAAATTTTTTGAAACTAAAATCTTTCAGTTTGAAAAAAACAAGCCCTGTCCAGACTTGAACTTACCAACTTGACCATTCCAGAAGAAGTCTTTACTATTAGGCCAAATGGTTCGCAGATATCAAGAAAAGTGAATTCATGATGTTCAAAAAAGAATAAAACAATACAAAAGAGTCCAAAAAATCAAAATTTTAATGCATTTTCAGAGAGGGTCAGCGAAATTGATTTAAAGCTTTTTAAAATAAATTTTCAAAGGTAAATCCGTTTCAACATATTGACCAAAACGAACACACAAGAACAATCTTATCCACTCAAATAAATTTACCATTCTTTCTAAATGTACCATTCTGTGAGCAAAGTACTTACAAAAAAAACTAGTACTCGATAGCAACACACTTGCTTATCGCAAGAGTAAAAAGCTCAAAGAGTATGGTAACAATAGCTGAAATCAGGTGAAAATAACAAGAAGTCATTAAGGAAATTCAGACCTCCGAGTAAACTAGTCATAAAGCCGAAAAGTTCGGACAAGTGTTTCTCGACTTGGTCTTTTTAGAGTCCGAATCACGCTTGAAACGAATTTCATATAATACAAAGTAGAAGAACTTTCTGCGCGGTACCTAAATAGGCTAGAAAAACCTAAAACTAGCCTGCACAAAAAAAATACTTCCTAGTCTTTAGAGAGAGGTCTGAAGCTCTGAACAGTATCTTTTCAGTCAAAACTAATCAAATTAGCCTTCACCTATTCTGTAATACTAAGGACTTCGATCTCAAACTATACTATTATACGCTTTTTATACGATAGCCAGAATATACAATAACACGTTATACAATAGTCGGATTATACTATTTTTCAATATACGTCAAACACACTTGTCTGAACAATTGATTGCCATAAATATTGAAGATAACTGCTAGTGGAGATTGTCTCTGTCCTGACAAGACAATTGAGGTAATCAGAAGCAGCAAAAAAAAAACGACCGCGCGTTGTTTTCACTCATTATTGAAAAAATCATGATCTTAAGTATTTGGCTCGAACAAAGCACTGATTTTTCACATTCACACGCAACTACTCAACAAGATGGACAGCTGATTATTATCAGACTGATTTTGGCTCGTGCTTCAATTATCACATCGGTTACCTTCAAAATTATATAATTATATTTTTGATTTTCTTTCGAATACCACACTTATTACGCATTGCATCACGCGAATATAAATCTGATTACTGTACAATCGACAACTTGAAAAACAAACTATCGTATTTACAGCCATTTAAGACTTTAATAATGAATAGCTGATAAGTGAATAGTAGTTTCATGGAGGCTTCTACTTCTCATCCTGCGCAGGGTGATTACCCCACAGTGTACAGACCAGAATATTATCAGGGATTGCTCAAACACCACGACAATGTCCTTAAAAAGGTAGCCTCAATTCTTTTATTCAGTCTACACAAGGTAAAATTGATCAACCACAATTGGTTTTTTTCTAGGCTTCACAAGCGCTGGAAAAACAAGAAGAGCACGCAAGTACGATCAAAAGAGCAGTTCACAATCAAGAAGTGTTCAATTATCAGCTCAGAGATGCCACGGCTGGACTGTTTGAAAGTACACGTTTTTACTCACTAAGGTACATTTTGTTAGCAATCCATCATGGCTGAAAGCATTCATAATTTTAGCTTACGAAGCTCTGAAGAAGAAGCATACAGACTACCAAAAGTACATTTCCTTGTTGGAGAGACAACATCAACTATTGACAAAGAAAGTCGGGGAAGCAGCTTCGAGACGCCTGGACCGAGAACGAAAGACTACACAGGAGATCATTGAAGCATCCAAAAAACGAGATGAAGTCGTTGAAGCCTTGAGCGAATCGAGAGAAAGATTTCTGAACATGGAGAAAAAACTCAGTGAATATCGAGAACTACGGAAGGAACTGGAAAAAGAGATATCGGATAAGAGCAGGAAAGCTGAGAAACTTCTGGAAAAAGACAAGGCCATTGCAGATCACAATGTGAAAATGAGACAGGTTTTAAAGTTGGAGAAGGAGGCTGTGCAACTGGTTGAGATGTCGGAGCACCGAAGATTGGACCAGCTCTCTCTTATAGACCCTGTTTATGCCGAGTATCTCAAAAAGAGATGGGCAATCGACAGCGGCAGAACCCTCTACGAGTGGGAGCTGTCAAGGTTCACCAATCTTGCGCCCCCTTTAGCCGACCCATCTTTATCGCACAATGAAAGCAAACGCCATGCATATGACCGCATCAAAGTAATGGATACGGTAGAATCTACCAGAACCTCACCAAAGCAAGACAGCAGGGGATCGAAAACAGACAGTCCGTTACAAACTAGTTGATTCAAAACACTTGCTGAAAGAGTAAAAAGAGTTGAGACTGGTTACTCTAATGCATAGTTTAGTATAATAGTATAATAATAAAAATAGCAAGTTTCATAATTGTCTCAAGTGCTCCTGAATTCTAAATAGATTCTACAGTTTTCTGAGTGAGAGGAGGGCTGAGCTAGTAGCATCATCGTCCGAGCTAGATCTACTCTACAAAAAAAACATCGATTTAATTTAAGAGCACAAAGAATCAGCATTTTCTCTGATTTGATCGAAAAAAAAATTGAGTTACAAATGGCAGCAAAAGCAGAAAAACTCTGGAAAAATACAAATCGATTGCTCATCACAATGTCAAGAAATCAAAAGTATTAAACTTAGAGAAGGCAGTTGTGTCCACAATTGAAGTGCCGTTAAAATGGTTCAAATAAATCCATTACTTTACACAGAGGCCAAGCTGAGCTTCGCACTACTTGCGATACGAAACAAGAAATTTAATCGAAAATGTAAAAACAAAACTAGATCTATGAAGTCAAACTCAAGACCAAAACACAAAACTTGCCTTGCACCTCAAATGAAACAATATGAGGTTCTTAAACCGATATACTATAGGCCGAAACCTATTATCCCGAAAAACATTTAAGAAAGCCGGAAAATATCTCAAAAAAATTACGGCAAATAAAAGTTATTAAGTCCCATTCACCCTCAAAACGCACACCTATATAAAATCTTTTTTTTTGATGATCGAGAGACGCAATATGAGGCACATAAGCCAATTTCATACAGACAGAAACCTATCAAAATAAAGGTAAATTATAAAATGGACCCTTCCGTTTAGGTACGGTCGTGCACAAGCTTGATAGGGCCCATACCAGCATTATAAAAATACATCAATAAACAATATTGCAGGAATTAAGTCAAATCAGCATTTAATGCATTGTCATTAAAAGTATTTACTTCAACCGTCCCTCCTCTACAACAGCACTAATTGAATTGTCTTTGAATTGCGTCTTACGCATTGATCTGCAACCCCGTATACAAAGGATAGCGCTCCTGAGCAGCGCGAAGCTTATCTTAGTTCTTATTATTTCTGCGTAGCTTTCATGCCTTTTTTCACTAAGTTTTTCAGCTATCCGCTGCATTTTCCGAGTAGCTGCTGGTGCGGCACCACCAGTGCAGCCAAAAATGAGCTGGCAGAAGTTGCTCTGTTCGACTTGTATAACTCTCCGTTGGTATTTTTAGTTTTTTAGTGATTCGTGGTACTTATAGGCGTCTTTCAGTAGTCTTCGTGAAGTTTTTGCGTGCGGGTTGAAACTTTGACATCAAAGAAGGTTCAAGTAAGCCTTGATCCCCATAATCCATTTGCTTTTACATCTAGTCGAGCGTCTTCATCAGTTGTGGTTGAATTGTTGACAAAGCTCTCGCCTTGCAACGACTGAAGTTTCGGCTCGATTTCAACATCAAAGCAAACCTCGCTCATGAAGGTGGCGAAGGTATCTCTGATTTTGTTATGCCTCATGTGGGTGTATCCACCCTTTGCACAGTTAAGGGCGTGGGTAAGGTCGTAACAGCCGAATGTGAGTGGAATGTTGGTTGGTTCGCATCCATATCTGAGATAAATTCCATCCCGGAATTCGGATTTATTCAGGTTAAAATTATATTTGCTAAGAGGCAGTGCATTTAACCAGTTTGAGGCTCCTTTTTCGGAGGCCAACTCAAAAGCGTATTTTTCATTGGCGCTCAAGTTGTTCAAAATGTTAGTTCTCTTTTGGTTTGTTCTTCCAGTTTTGAGTGTTTTAATCTTTGTATAGATTTTTTCTTGCTCAGGTATAGCTGTTAATGGGTCGTATGTGTCTAGGACTGACGATGATTTAATTGACCATTCTAAAGAATTCTCATAGTCAGAAGGTAGCTTGATATTTATACCACCCATTTTCAGTGGCAAAGAAGCGATGTCTCTGAATTGATGGCTGATATTATCATTACCAATTAAAATTGGAATTAGATTTTCCTGCAGTATCTTCTCGCAGGCCTGCAAGTTGTCTGTGGTATTGGGGGTAGTTCTAGCTAAGAACGATAATTTTTCTTGTACCCCTTCATGTACCAGGAGTACACGTTTTGTGGTGATGTTTTCGCGATCTTTTCAAGTTTTTTCAGTATTTTATTGTTTTTCTAACTGAGTTTCAAAGAAAAATTTTACAATCAGTCTCGGATCCTATGACAAAACCAAGTACTCTGGCCCCTTTCTTCATTTCAATTTCGATATTTTTCAATACTTTTATCGCCTCATTGTATTTTTCATCATTCACAATGAGTTGGCATTTCAATGCCTTTACATTATATCCAAAACAGTTTCCGTGTTTGATAATGTTTTCAAGAACTCTTCGCTAGCCCGTACATTGCCATGTCTAATGGGTCTCCTTGTGTGGTTCCTTCTCTAGATAATATTAATTTTTTATTTACGAAGAGTTTGAATGGATTAGAGTATGAGTTCTGTATTGCTGGTAGCATAGAAGGACATATATTTGCAATGTTTTTTAAAGCCAGGTTCCGGTTTAGGGAGTTAAATACGTTTTCCGCCTCTATCAGTAGTATTGCATCGGAATCTGTTTTCTCGTATTGTTTCCTAAGCGTATGAATTGCATATTCGATGCCACATTTTTGGCCAAGGCATAGTTGGTAATTCGATCCGAGTACCATAAGTTAGCTTTTTTTAGCACTTTGTGATCGTTCTACCTATTATTCTGCGGATGACTTCGCCTATGTAAATTGGCCTAACTCCTGGGTTTTTATCAAATGGAATTAGTCGACAGGCATTATATGGTTCAAGAAGCTCATGACTTAGTATTTCAGTCGATATTTTTTGTCCGATTTTGGCTAGTGTCTTCGATATTTCAACTGACTGTAGACCAAAGTGAGTTAGTATGCGTCTCCACTCATTTGAATCCAGACCTGAGGGTCCATGAGAAACATTTGTTGTCATGGCAGCCTGCCTAATTTTCTGGGCGTTTATTTGGTCGAACGTGGATGAGTGGAAAGGGATTGTATCTTCCGAGCAAGATGTTATATAGTTGCTGTTTACTGGCTCAGCGGGAGGGTGCTTCTCGATGAGGATTTGCTCAACAGTTTGACCTTTGACGGTTTCCTCGAGTGAAAGAACTCCCTTGGAGGTATCAGTTTATTTAGCAATAGCACTCGATATTTTTCCGGTGTTCATTAGTTATTATTAAATTGCTGTGCTTCAGTTTCTACTTTCTTTTTCTTACTCTTTGCCACGCGCAATTGCAGCGCTTTTCCCTCGTTAAAAAGTTCGTCCAGTTCGCCCTTATGCCATTGCTTAAGCCTTCTTGCTATAGTTTTGGATTTCGAACCATCACTCTCCGATTTGGTTTTACATAGCATGAGGTGAGGGAATATTATTGTTGCGTGCATTGCGTATGTGTTTTCTTGTGTTTCAATTAACGAGTTTCTATAAAGTTAAACCCAATTCTATTTTTTGCGAGGATCATGAAGACTGGTTTCCAGTGCGCTACTTGGCTGTAGATTGTTCTTATTTTATCTTTTCGTTCAGGTGTGGGATTTGACCAGGGGTCGGGTTTTGGCTATTATATTTTCGTTGCTGTTTGCAATGGCAGTATTTTGATCGTTAGTCGAAGGAGCGTGTTGAGGTTGAGTTGGAGGGGCTTGAATGTCAGTTGTAGTGTTGTCTGTAATCACGGAGGTGCAGCGAAGGCAGCCAAAGTTTTCGTCTCGGTCGCTGGCTCGGTTAAGGCCGCTGCATTTTACATGCATATGGGCTGCGCATGTCGTGCACCATATTCCACGGCCGCGTAGGTGGTTGTTACATATGATGCAATGTGTTTGATAGGACATTATTTGAGGAGGAACGGTATCGTCAGATTATCAAGAGAATTTATATATAATATAAGCCAGAAAAATTGTAAAGAATTCATTACCAAAGAACGAGAAGTGGATGCCGTCTCGGCAGAACATTTGAGGGGTTAGATTCAAGTTAAGATTGGGCGAAACAATTAGTGTATGTGGATGAACAAATTTATTGATTAAGATAAACAGCACATGGTTATGAATGTAGAGTTTGCGGTTAACATCATTGTTATTGGAGCTTTGGATTGTTTTGGGGATAATCAGGGTTTTGGGCTGGAACTTGTTTGTAATTAGGTTGATTAAGTTTTTCCACTTTTGCTCAACTTCTTGTGGATGCAGCCTATTATCATTACACCCGGCATTAATGATAACTGTATTAAGGCGCTTTGGTCTGTATTGTAAAAGTTTCATACAGATCTTGGAGTGTGGCGCCGCCGTAAGAGTGAATTGTAGATTTTACAAGAGCTGGTTTGATATATTTTGTCCTTGATGTGCTAATTACAAGCTTCTGTGAAAAGTCAGGGATGCGCCTTGCCTGGAATCGGGGCATCCACCTGAAACACAGACAGCGAAGGCAACACAGAAGCTCTTACGTAGAAAGTTGGGGGAATGGATGGTCAATGATTCAAGGAGTTTAATTTAAATCTGAGAGTTAAAAAAAATCATTAAAAAAATGTTTAAAAAAAACGAAAAATTGATAGGTAGGAACGGTACAACCTGTGGTGTTGTTGAAGGGTAGCTCCACCTGCTCACTCTTTTTTGCGTCTACATATGCCAGAGAAGCTTCACTCTCCTACGGCTTGGACGGCGAGATTTGGTTAGATAATCAGAAGAGGAAAGCCCAGCGCGCATATGATATGAAAACAAACAAGCGGTAAATTTGAACAAATCTATTTAATAAGTTTATCACAACAATTAGGCAAATTAAAGATGTTGAAAAAAACTAGATGACCCGAGTTTTTCGTAAGTCTCGATAGAAAACAAACACAGACCCAGCTAAAGGCTGCAGTTAGGTGTTAATTATTGAATGAGTTTGCTAAACTGATGCTGCACGAAAAATGTGATTTTAGACTTCGCCTAAACTTTAGTTGTTTCTCTATTAAAATAAGTTAGAAGAGTAGGAAATTATGAGATAATCAATTTTCCCAAGATAACATTTTGCTTTAAAAAAATCAATGAATTTATACTTCAGCAGGAACAATTATCTCAAATCGTTCTTTTAAAGCAGCTTTCTATCTCAGATTT